CAAGCGCAGCGAGTCCGGGGTCCAGCAGCCCATCGGCGGCTTCTCCCTCGTCGGAAATGTCCGGAGTGAAGAAGCCTCGTACGGTAAGAGCCAGAGCGAGTCACCCGCAAGTTGTCATGAAACTCACGGAGGAGGTCTGTCAAATCACGTCAATTTTATTTTTAAGCGGTAGAACTTGTTCAAAGTTTGTCGTCGATTGACCACCACTTCATTAGGTACACCTGCAGAAGCAAACGAGATCCAGTACAAGAGTTTGCTTTTGACGATGGCTTAATTCAAGATGCATAAATATAACAGTCTGTTCGTCTGCTTGATTCAGCGTTTTTACCCACTAACGAAAACAACCACAAAACGAGCATAATATTTAATCACAAATGAGCCGCAAGGCAAACAAATATAAATATACAGCCCTTGTATTGGCTCGCATTACATTTGCCAAATATGCCTAATGGGACTTAGTCAGTGTAAATTCCCAACTAAAGACATTCTTACCTCCAAAAAGTGTATTTTACTTTGATTTAAATGGATTAAAAATATTTTATTGAACACCGTAGATCCTCTGTACTATTGGATGTGACGTTGAGTGCTTATGTTGACTCTGAATGGGGGTCTTGTTGTTGTTGCCATGAATTCATGTCAGTATGCCCTCCCTATTCATAAGGTGGGATGAGAAAGAGGCCACTGTTGAGTTGAACACACTCGGGCATCAGATGCTGCTCAAGACAGCTTTGGCGAACACGGTGGCGAGCACCTAAGATGAGTAGCAGTGAAAAAAATATATATATTTTTGGTGACATGTACAAGGAGAGTCAAAAGGCATGGCTCAATGATATTTTTTTTCTAAAAGATGACTGAGAAAATAATTTATGAATATACTTTTACTCTACATTTAGAATATCAAATAAAATGCTGGACGGTGGAGCTACACACATTTTTGGCGAGTCTATAGCTAACCCCTCAGCCCGTTTGCAATGCCATTCCTTAGAGTCGACTAAAATTATGGCCGTAGGTGACCATACTGGACAGATTTATATGGAATGTTAACATTTTGTGTATTCTGGAGCAGTACTTGATGTCTTAGCGAGGACACAAAAAAACGGTATGTCCTTTAACAGTTTAACAACCAGACAAGTTTACGATTTGTACCACACGATAGTATTTGGTTTTCATTTGTTTGACTTATATGACCTCAAGGTTTGTTTCATATAAATATTGACTGCAAATATGTAGTCGGATACTGTATGGAAAATGTCAACACAGGCAAAAAAAATAGCTGTTCCCCAATTTTAAATACTTTATTCACAATCGCAAGACGAGTCAAAGCAGACATTCCAATTTATTAATAACGATATGAAAAATATTCAAATCCAATAGTATCTAAAGATCTTAAAGATGTAAAAGAAATATTAAACACATGTATACACGTCTTTTTTTCCTTTTTTATGTACAGCAGTAAACATCATCTTAGTTTTGTAAAGAACTGCTAGGTACAATGCAGTTACAATTATCCTTACAAGTTTATTCGATCCACGTTTTTCATTAAGAGCACACCGGAAGAGAAAAGTTCACTCGTGTACCTCAACATGAAGAGAAAATCCTGCTTTCAAGGATCCAGTAGAGCACACAGTAATGCTTAAGTGAAGGAACTACAGAGCACCTTGGGAAGCTACAAAGGGGCACCACAGTCAAGGCTTCATTCAGTACAGTAGTGCACGTTTGCAGAATCCCTGCAGGTGGAGGTCAGACTCGATACAAGAAGGCGACTTGTGAACCCGATTGCTGCCACATCAGCTCTGGCCTTACAGGCAGCACACAGGACACATTGTACAGTCGGGCTACTCACCTCCGCCACCACCGCCATTCCTTCCATGCCTCTCACCCTCGCCACCTCCCCTCAGCAAGTCAATACAGCCCCTTTCATAAAACATCCTGGTCCGTGTCGGCACTTGGGACCTTGAGCGTACTACTTTGACTCACTCTGTCATCTCAACTGTGGGGGTGGGGGGGGGACCCAAGAGTGGTGCCTTTTTCAAAGCAGCTGGAAAGTGGAGAAAGGGTTAGAATTTTACAACCACATTGGACAGGCAGCGCAACGCAGTATTGGGATGGGGCCCAATCCACACAATCAGTGTCGAGAGAAGGCCAAAGCAAAGTATCAATTTGACGATGATGAGTTTGTGACTGGATATCCAAAAGGGGAAGATATTACTTGAGTCAGAGTTCAAATGAACTCCTGTCCGAGACTTTGATTGGTTGTTTTCTCCAAGTATGAGAGAAGAGCAAACGTTTTCCATCATGCCTTGGGAATGACATGTTTGAGTCACATCCTTTCCTTGAGGGAGGAAAAAAAAAAATGAAATGACGCAACAGCCACGAGCAACTACTACCGGCTCCAAACATTAAGGAGTGCCTGGGGAGAAATCAAATCATCACTTCACTCAGAATAAACAAAGCGTCAGATGAGCTTATCAAAACCGTCAGCCCAAAATGCTCAGCATTGTTGTGTCATGTTTTATTTCACCATTTTATAATGGGCTTTGGAGGACTCTAAATTTAAAAAAAAAAGCTTCCCCACTTGCGTTGTAAAGTTAAGCTACACAGACATGTTTTATTTTATGACATCTGCCCTGTGGTACTGTATTTGAATGGCCTGCTTTGCTACTGTATGCATTGCCCATCTGTGTACACTGGACAAACCAAAGACACCTAAAAATGTTCATCAATCAATGTCCAGCCACATGTTTTGTCAACAGAATTATGACTAGGTAAAGAAGGTGGAGCAGGACACGATAGTTTGCATAGTCATTTTTTTTTGTCAACATTGTCTCCCTGTGTGTCAATGTCATTGCATTGAATAACTGAGCTTTTTAGACTGAAGGTGAGATGTTGGCAAATTATCAAGATACATAAGATGCCTCGGTCAAATTGCGCAATTTTGTCTTGAACGAGAAGTGAACAGCTCGTGGTGACGCTTCTGTTTTCTTGTCCTCTGTCACAGAACCTCAACAGGTCTACCAATGTGGTCTACCAGGCCCACCATGTCAGTCGCAGCAAGAGGGGACAGGTTGTGGGCACCAGGGGAGGGTTCCGAGGGTGCACCATTTGGCTCACAGGTAAATCACATCATCCATTATCAGAACGGCTTATCCTCATATCGTTTTTATTTTTTTAATGATGACAAACGATGAAAATAGCTTGTTGTGTTTGGGGTAGCACCGGCAGATACAAAGGTTGCACTTTACTGGGAGCCAAATCTCCATCATTGGGGTTGTGGAAGACATTTTCCCTCATGTATGTGCAAAATGTTTTGTTGTATTCTGTTTGAATAATTTAGCAAAACAGAACGGCTAGCCGCGTCATGTGCCAGTTACAACCAGTGTCTCACTGGGGATTAACTTCCCTTACGTAACGGATGAGCAGACGGAGAGGAAAAAGAGAAGCGGCAGTAAAACAGGCTAAAATCCAGATGCAGGCAAGAGATGAGCTGCGTACTAGTTGTGGTTTAACCAAATGTGAGCGTGTAGGAATAAGTCTCATATATAATATTCAAGACCATAGGACTTGGAACTATTATTTGGCATTCCTTCCTCTTCCTACCAGGTTTGTCTGGGGCTGGAAAAACCACCATCAGTTTTGCCCTGGAAGAGTTCCTGGTATCCCATGCCATCCCTTGCTACTCCCTGGACGGCGACAACATTCGTCACGGCCTGAACAAGAATTTGGGCTTCTCAGCCACAGACCGCGAGGAGAATATCCGTCGCATCGCTGAGGTGGCCCGACTGTTTGCGGACGCCGGACTTGTTTGCATCACCAGTTTCATCTCCCCCTTTACTAAGGTCAGTGTGTGAGGTCAACTTGAATAAAATAACACCGTAACAAAGCACTTTACAGAACATTTAACATAAGGTAACAATAATCCAACAGAACACATAACATGGAGAAGAATGCAATCGAAACAACTATTCCTACGTACGCCTTGTTGTTTGAAGCGGTTCTCGATGAAGTAGAGCGAATCAAAGTCTCCTTTCACCAGTGGTTCAGAGGGCGTCATGATCACGGCACGCATGACTTCTCGTAAGTCTGCAACAAGTGTCAAAGTCAACGAGACAGGATGCGATTGTAAAAATACAATGTATTTATTTGTGCAGTTCATAATCCAATTCCAAAATTACATAAATACTCATCAACATTGTTTCAAAAACAAATTTGTCCAAATAAAGGTCTGGTAGTTTCTGCAGCTCAGTGTTTTAATGCTTCAAACAACTCTCAGTGACGTCAAATACCATTTCCACGAATACTTTTTTCTTCCTGCTGTATGGCTCACTTGACTAAATAAACCCACCACACCTTAACTACATTGCATTCCCAAATTATTTCACAAATTATGTTTTTCTGATTTGACTAAGTAGTCGATTGAAGTGACTGTCAGAATAATTTTCAAACTCCCGTATTTGAATATAATTTGAATGTGTTTGAAAAAGCGTCCAAATATTAATAGCATTTTTTAACAATAAAATATATGTTACGCCCGCAGTTTCAAAACATTTTACACATCGCAAAGAACTGAAAACAGTCATTTGTTGCATTGATTACTGAAATCTAAAGCCCTTTCATCGTTGACTTTTTTAGATCCCATTGTTAACACGCCCTCCCCTTATGCCTTGAATAAATCACCTTTACCACGACATCCGATGCCACCGCGTTTCTCTTTTGCAAGGCCCGCTGTGTGTGGAGCAGATGTGGTATCTGTAAAGCGGACGTAAACGTTTTGCTGAGCATACGCGTTATTATTGTCCCCACAGGATCGTAACGAAGCCAGGAAAATCCACGCGAGCGCCGGGCTACCATTTTTTGAGGTGTTTATCCACGCTCCCTTAGAGGTGTGCGAGAGCAGAGATGTAAAAGGACTCTACAAGAAGGCTCGGGCTGGCGAGATTAAAGGTTGCGTTTCACGCTGTTTAACTCCTTGCATCGCGCATGTCCCCACCTTTCCTTCCTCAATCATCATGCAAGGCGAATAATGGAGCGCCTCCAGTGTTGTCACAGCATTTGTTTTCCGCTATTTCATTGGCAGGCTTTACAGGAATCGACTCAGACTACGAGCGCCCCGAGGCGCCGGAGTTGCTGCTGAAAACCGGAGAGCTCTCCGTGAACGAGTGCCTGGAACATGTGCTGGAGATGCTCCGTGAGCAGGTGAGTGTGACAAGTCGTCACGTTGTGTCGTTTGTCACAGGTACGTTTCCAAGGACGGATCGGTTTTCGCCTGTTTGACTTAGGAATGGGACAACGGGAAGGGCGCTAGCAGGGTTTCGAGTCCAACGTTAGCTGGCCCTTGATGCTAATAGTCAAGCTAACCCAGCTAGTACTGTATATCGGTATTTTCGGCGAACTACTAAAAATGCTCGTTTTTTTTCTCTCGGGAGAGGGTTGAAGTACCGTGACAAAAGACGTTACACCATCTTGGGTGGTGGGAAAAAATGCGTATAAATATGCTGTACTCAAACTTAGTGGACACCGAAATGTCCAGCTTTCATTCTGCCAGGTTGGAGGGGGCTCGGCCAGCACAGTGGTGTCGTAACGAATCGCAATGACCAACTAGTTGGGGTGAATTTTGTATGGATGCGGGCGGAGGAGAGGGAGGAGGAAGGCAGGCTGGAGGCTGGGCCAGCCAGTGGAATGCTACGTGTCTTGGAGGCCCTTTTTAAAGCCCCCCTCGTCGCCTTTGGTGACCGGAGCCAAAAAAAAAAAAAGTTAACGACGACCGATTGCAGCACCATCCCGAGCCCCGTGAGTCAAGCGCAGCGAGTCCGGTGTCCAGCAGCCCATCGGCGGCTTCTCCCTCGTCGGAAATGTCCGGAGTGAAGAAGCCTCGTACGGTAAGAGCCAGAGCGAGTCACCCGCAAGTTGTCATGAAACTCACGGAGGAGGTCTGTCAAATCACGTCAATTTTATTTTTAAGCGGTAGAACTTGTTCAAAGTTTGTCGTCGATTGACCACCACTTCATTAGGTACACCTGCAGAAGCAAACGAGATCCAGTACAAGAGTTTGCTTTTGACGATGGCTTAATTCAAGATGCATAAATATAACAGTCTGTTCGTCTGCTTGATTCAGCGTTTTTACCCACTAACGAAAACAACCACAAAACGAGCATAATATTTAATCACAAATGAGCCGCAAGGCAAACAAATATAAATATACAGCCCTTGTATTGGCTCGCATTACATTTGCCAAATATACCTAATGGGACTTAGTCAGTGTAAATTCCCAACTAAAGACATTCTTACCTCCAAAAAGTGTATTTTACTTTGATTTAAATGGATTAAAAATATTTTATTGAACACCGTAGATCCTCTGTACTATTGGATGTGACGTTGAGTGCTTATGTTGACTCTGAATGGGGGTCTTGTTGTTGTTGCCATGAATTCATGTCAGTATGCCCTCCCTATTCATAAGGTGGGATGAGAAAGAGGCCACTGTTGAGTTGAACACACTCGGGCATCAGATGCTGCTCAAGACAGCTTTGGCGAACACGGTGGCGAGCACCTAAGATGAGTAGCAGTGAAAAAAATATATATATTTTTGGTGACATGTACAAGGAGAGTCAAAAGGCATGGCTCAATGATATTTTTTTTCTAAAAGATGACTGAGAAAATAATTTATGAATATACTTTTACTCTACATTTAGAATATCAAATAAAATGCTGGACGGTGGAGCTACACACATTTTTGGCGAGTCTATAGCTAACCCCTCAGCCCGTTTGCAATGCCATTCCTTAGAGTCGACTAAAATTATGGCCGTAGGTGACCATACTGGACAGATTTATATGGAATGTTAACATTTTGTGTATTCTGGAGCAGTACTTGATGTCTTAGCGAGGACACAAAAAAACGGTATGTCCTTTAACAGTTTAACAACCAGACAAGTTTACGATTTGTACCACACGATAGTATTTGGTTTTCATTTGTTTGACTTATATGACCTCAAGGTTTGTTTCATATAAATATTGACTGCAAATATGTAGTCGGATACTGTATGGAAAATGTCAACACAGGCAAAAAAAATAGCTGTTCCCCAATTTTAAATACTTTATTCACAATCGCAAGACGAGTCAAAGCAGACATTCCAATTTATTAATAACGATATGAAAAATATTCAAATCCAATAGTATCTAAAGATCTTAAAGATGTAAAAGAAATATTAAACACATGTATACACGTCTTTTTTTCCTTTTTTATGTACAGCAGTAAACATCATCTTAGTTTTGTAAAGAACTGCTAGGTACAATGCAGTTACAATTATCCTTACAAGTTTATTCGATCCACGTTTTTCATTAAGAGCACACCGGAAGAGAAAAGTTCACTCGTGTACCTCAACATGAAGAGAAAATCCTGCTTTCAAGGATCCAGTAGAGCACACAGTAATGCTTAAGTGAAGGAACTACAGAGCACCTTGGGAAGCTACAAAGGGGCACCACAGTCAAGGCTTCATTCAGTACAGTAGTGCACGTTTGCAGAATCCCTGCAGGTGGAGGTCAGACTCGATACAAGAAGGCGACTTGTGAACCCGATTGCTGCCACATCAGCTCTGGCCTTACAGGCAGCACACAGGACACATTGTACAGTCGGGCTACTCACCTCCGCCACCACCGCCATTCCTTCCATGCCTCTCACCCTCGCCACCTCCCCTCAGCAAGTCAATACAGCCCCTTTCATAAAACATCCTGGTCCGTGTCGGCACTTGGGACCTTGAGCGTACTACTTTGACTCACTCTGTCATCTCAACTGTGGGGGTGGGGGGGGGACCCAAGAGTGGTGCCTTTTTCAAAGCAGCTGGAAAGTGGAGAAAGGGTTAGAATTTTACAACCACATTGGACAGGCAGCGCAACGCAGTATTGGGATGGGGCCCAATCCACATAATCAGTGTCGAGAGAAGGCCAAAGCAAAGTATCAATTTGACGATGATGAGTTTGTGACTGGATATCCAAAAGGGGAAGATAGTACTTGAGTCAGAGTTCAAATGAACTCCTGTCCGAGACTTTGATTGGTTGTTTTCTCCAAGTATGAGAGAAGAGCAAACGTTTTCCATCATGCCTTGGGAATGACATGTTTGAGTCACATCCTTTCCTTGAGGGAGGAAAAAAAAAAATGAAATGACGCAACAGCCACGAGCAACTACTACCGGCTCCACACATTAAGGAGTGCCTGGGGAGAAATCAAATCATCACTTCACTCAGAATAAACAAAGCGTCAGATGAGCTTATCAAAACCGTCAGCCCAAAATGCTCAGCATTGTTGTGTCATGTTTTATTTCACCATTTTATAATGGGCTTTGGAGGACTCTAAATTTAAAAAAAAAAGCTTCCCCACTTGCGTTGTAAAGTTAAGCTACACAGACATGTTTTATTTTATGACATCTGCCCTGTGGTACTGTATTTGAATGGCCTGCTTTGCTACTGTATGCATTGCCCATCTGTGTACACTGGACAAACCAAAGACACCTAAAAATGTTCATCAATCAATGTCCAGCCACATGTTTTGTCAACAGAATTATGACTAGGTAAAGAAGGTGGAGCAGGACACGATAGTTTGCATAGTCATTTTTTTTTGTCAACATTGTCTCCCTGTGTGTCAATGTCATTGCATTGAATAACTGAGCTTTTTAGACTGAAGGTGAGATGTTGGCAAATTATCAAGATACATAAGATGCCTCGGTCAAATTGCGCAATTTTGTCTTGAACGAGAAGTGAACAGCTCGTGGTGACGCTTCTGTTTTCTTGTCCTCTGTCACAGAACCTCAACAGGTCTACCAATGTGGTCTACCAGGCCCACCATGTCAGTCGCAGCAAGAGGGGACAGGTTGTGGGCACCAGGGGAGGGTTCCGAGGGTGCACCATTTGGCTCACAGGTAAATCACATCATCCATTATCAGAACGGCTTATCCTCATATCGTTTTTATTTTTTTAATGATGACAAACGATGAAAATAGCTTGTTGTGTTTGGGGTAGCACCGGCAGATACAAAGGTTGCACTTTACTGGGAGCCAAATCTCCATCATTGGGGTTGTGGAAGACATTTTCCCTCATGTATGTGCAAAATGTTTTGTTGTATTCTGTTTGAATAATTTAGCAAAACAGAACGGCTAGCCGCGTCATGTGCCAGTTACAACCAGTGTCTCACTGGGGATTAACTTCCCTTACGTAACGGATGAGCAGACGGAGAGGAAAAAGAGAAGCGGCAGTAAAACAGGCTAAAATCCAGATGCGGGCAAGAGATGAGCTGCGTACTAGTTGTGGTTTAACCAAATGTGAGCGTGTAGGAATAAGTCTCATATATAATATTCAAGACCATAGGACTTGGAACTATTATTTGGCATTCCTTCCTCTTCCTACCAGGTTTGTCTGGGGCTGGAAAAACCACCATCAGTTTTGCCCTGGAAGAGTTCCTGGTATCCCATGCCATCCCTTGCTACTCCCTGGACGGCGACAACATTCGTCACGGCCTGAACAAGAATTTGGGCTTCTCAGCCACAGACCGCGAGGAGAATATCCGTCGCATCGCTGAGGTGGCCCGACTGTTTGCGGACGCCGGACTTGTTTGCATCACCAGTTTCATCTCCCCCTTTACTAAGGTCAGTGTGTGAGGTCAACTTGAATAAAATAACACCGTAACAAAGCACTTTACAGAACATTTAACATAAGGTAACAATAATCCAACAGAACACATAACATGGAGAAGAATGCAATCGAAACAACTATTCCTACGTACGCCTTGTTGTTTGAAGCGGTTCTCGATGAAGTAGAGCGAATCAAAGTCTCCTTTCACCAGTGGTTCAGAGGGCGTCATGATCACGGCACGCATGACTTCTCGTAAGTCTGCAACAAGTGTCAAAGTCAACGAGACAGGATGCGATTGTAAAAATACAATGTATTTATTTGTGCAGTTCATAATCCAATTCCAAAATTACATAAATACTCATCAACATTGTTTCAAAAACAAATTTGTCCAAATAAAGGTCTGGTAGTTTCTGCAGCTCAGTGTTTTAATGCTTCAAACAACTCTCAGTGACGTCAAATACCATTTCCACGAATACTTTTTTCTTCCTGCTGTATGGCTCACTTGACTAAATAAACCCACCACACCTTAACTACATTGCATTCCCAAATTATTTCACAAATTATGTTTTTCTGATTTTACTAAGTAGTCGATTGAAGTGACTGTCAGAATAATTTTCAAACTCCCGTATTTGAATATAATTTGAATGTGTTTGAAAAAGCGTCCAAATATTAATAGCATTTTTTAACAATAAAATATATGTTACGCCCGCAGTTTCAAAACATTTTACACATCGCAAAGAACTGAAAACAGTCATTTGTTGCATTGATTACTGAAATCTAAAGCCCTTTCATCGTTGACTTTTTTAGATCCCATTGTTAACACGCCCTCCCCTTATGCCTTGAATAAATCACCTTTACCACGACATCCGATGCCACCGCCTTTCTCTTTTGCAAGGCCCGCTGTGTGTGGAGCAGATGTGGTATCTGTAAAGCGGACGTAAACGTTTTGCTGAGCATACGCGTTATTATTGTCCCCACAGGATCGTAACGAAGCCAGGAAAATCCACGCGAGCGCCGGGCTACCATTTTTTGAGGTGTTTATCCACGCTCCCTTAGAGGTGTGCGAGAGCAGAGATGTAAAAGGACTCTACAAGAAGGCTCGGGCTGGCGAGATTAAAGGTTGCGTTTCACGCTGTTTAACTCCTTGCATCGCGCATGTCCCCACCTTTCCTTCCTCAATCATCATGCAAGACGAATAATGGAGCGCCTCCAGTGTTGTCACAGCATTTGTTTTCCGCTATTTCATTGGCAGGCTTTACAGGAATCGACTCAGACTACGAGCGCCCCGAGGCGCCGGAGTTGCTGCTGAAAACCGGAGAGCTCTCCGTGAACGAGTGCCTGGAACATGTGCTGGAGATGCTCCGTGAGCAGGTGAGTGTGACAAGTCGTCACGTTGTGTCGTTTGTCACAGGTACGTTTCCAAGGACGGATCGGTTTTCGCCTGTTTGACTTAGGAATGGGACAACGGGAAGGGCGGTTTGACAAATATGCACAAGGTTGAATTTGCGTCGTGTACAACTGCGTGTGCAAATATCCTGGGCCTGACTGTGATAAACGCACACATCGCGAAAGACGAAGCGACAGACACATGGGTGCATTGCGAAATAAATCTCCAGGAATACGTCGGCCGGCATGCGTCACAGGACCGTTTCCAAGATGTTGTTGCCACATACCTGATGTGGCTTTGTGGCTAACTGAAATTACTGCATACATCATCACTGTAAATCATCAGGTCACATGTGATTTTATCTGTGTGGAGATTTTTGTTTCGGTTTGAAAGTTGAAGTTGTAGTCATGAAAAACAAATGTTGCCTTTGTAACCTGCAGTGGGGCATCTGGATTTTAACTCATGACTTGGTAGGAGGGCTCAGCAATTCATCAAACTCAAATCGGCATTGCAATGTCATAAAGAGCAATTTTCAAACCGAAAAGCCTGCCACCTCCTCTGCTTAATTTCGGCTGGTCAGCATGCTTTTTTTTTTTTTTTTTTAATCAGAAGCAAACGAGATCCAGTACAAGAGTTTGCTTTTGACGATGGCTTAATTCAAGATGCATAAATATAACAGTCTGTTCGTCTGCTTGATTCAGCGTTTTTACCCACTAACGAAAACAACCACAAAACGAGCATAATATTTAATCACAAATGAGCCGCAAGGCAAACAAATATAAATATACAGCCCTTGTATTGGCTCGCATTACATTTGCCAAATATACCTAATGGGACTTAGTCAGTGTAAATTCCCAACTAAAGACATTCTTACCTCCAAAAAGTGTATTTTACTTTGATTTAAATGGATTAAAAATATTTTATTGAACACCGTAGATCCTCTGTACTATTGGATGTGACGTTGAGTGCTTATGTTGACTCTGAATGGGGGTCTTGTTGTTGTTGCCATGAATTCATGTCAGTATGCCCTCCCTATTCATAAGGTGGGATGAGAAAGAGGCCACTGTTGAGTTGAACACACTCGGGCATCAGATGCTGCTCAAGACAGCTTTGGCGAACACGGTGGCGAGCACCTAAGATGAGTAGCAGTGAAAAAAATATATATATTTTTGGTGACATGTACAAGGAGAGTCAAAAGGCATGGCTCAATGATATTTTTTTTCTAAAAGATGACTGAGAAAATAATTTATGAATATACTTTTACTCTACATTTAGAATATCAAATAAAATGCTGGACGGTGGAGCTACACACATTTTTGGCGAGTCTATAGCTAACCCCTCAGCCCGTTTGCAATGCCATTCCTTAGAGTCGACTAAAATTATGGCCGTAGGTGACCATACTGGACAGATTTATATGGAATGTTAACATTTTGTGTATTCTGGAGCAGTACTTGATGTCTTAGCGAGGACACAAAAAAACGGTATGTCCTTTAACAGTTTAACAACCAGACAAGTTTACGATTTGTACCACACGATAGTATTTGGTTTTCATTTGTTTGACTTATATGACCTCAAGGTTTGTTTCATATAAATATTGACTGCAAATATGTAGTCGGATACTGTATGGAAAATGTCAACACAGGCAAAAAAAATAGCTGTTCCCCAATTTTAAATACTTTATTCACAATCGCAAGACGAGTCAAAGCAGACATTCCAATTTATTAATAACGATATGAAAAATATTCAAATCCAATAGTATCTAAAGATCTTAAAGATGTAAAAGAAATATTAAACACATGTATTGACTGCAAATATGTAGTCGGATACTGTATGGAAAATGTCAACACAGGCAAAAAAAATAGCTGTTCCCCAATTTTAAATACTTTATTCACAATCGCAAGACGAGTCAAAGCAGACATTCCAATTTATTAATAACGATATGAAAAATATTCAAATCCAATAGTATCTAAAGATCTTAAAGATGTAAAAGAAATATTAAACACATGTATACACGTCTTTTTTTCCTTTTTTATGTACAGCAGTAAACATCATCTTAGTTTTGTAAAGAACTGCTAGGTACAATGCAGTTACAATTATCCTTACAAGTTTATTCGATCCACGTTTTTCATTAAGAGCACACCGGAAGAGAAAAGTTCACTCGTGTACCTCAACATGAAGAGAAAATCCTGCTTTCAAGGATCCAGTAGAGCACACAGTAATGCTTAAGTGAAGGAACTACAGAGCACCTTGGGAAGCTACAAAGGGGCACCACAGTCAAGGCTTCATTCAGTACAGTAGTGCACGTTTGCAGAATCCCTGCAGGTGGAGGTCAGACTCGATACAAGAAGGCGACTTG